AATTCGACTGTTATGTACATGTATTCAACTGTAGACTGATTTTATGCATACACATACCCCGTTTAACTCTCTCCCTTCCTCGCGCTTCCTTCAACTGTTACAAAATTTCCAAGCACCCTGTTCAAATGCACGAATTGCGTTGCTTAGAATGAATTAAATAAACATTTTTTTTCTTTTTTTTTTCAGCGAATGGAAATGTAATGCAAGTATTTATGCATCAGTATCCAGGGGATACTAATGTCTAAATGCGAAATTCTTTAAAAAGTCGACAATCGCTTGGTATATGTGAATGTAAAAATAAGAAATTTTAATTTTAAAACTTTCCGTACAAAGAAGTTCAACGACCAGCTTAATGTTCTGAAATGCTCGTTGTATCCGCACCAAGCAGATGATATGTTAAGTGTACCAAAAATATTCATAGCACTTTTAAAAATATTTTAAAAAATTAAACTATCGACTTTAAATTTAGCAGAAATAGTGGATGTTCTTGTACAAAGGTTGGTATTGAAAACGAGCCAAATCGATCCAAGGACCCTTCTACAATACTACGTAACGATAGAGTACCTCTGTTTTTCGAAAGGGAAAAAATCGATTTTTTGCTCATTATTCGTAAACCACAGTAGATAAATGTACAAAGATTCGTGCGTGTATTCTATAGGTGCTGCTGCAGTACCTCCATAAAATGGAAAAAATTGATCACGCCTACTAATTATTATACTGTATCAAAATTTGATTTTATTTTCAATACTTTTTTCTAACTCGTAGAAGCAAACTTCAAAATCCCTCTTAACCGCCTAAGGTGTATAAATTATTAACCAGTTTCAAATTTCTAAAGCACATACGTACATTCGTCTGCTCGTCGGCAGAATGTGTAGTATCTGTGGTAAACATTCTCCCATTCGCAAAAACGAAAATATCCTCTGCAAATTTGCAAAAGAATTTGAAAGTAACCTAAACCGCATGTCTATGCCACCAACACTGCAGGCACGTTTGCTTTCCGCGTTTTTTCCTTGTTGTTTATAAGGTACAACGCGTACAAATGAACTTGCACTTTACTCTGAAAATAGATAAAAATCACATCCACGCCCATCTATTATTCGGTTCGAATCGATTTACTTTTTCGGCCACTCCCCATATAACGCCCTGTTTGTAAAGTATTTTGGCATTCTAAATTGCTTTGAAAACTTCGGATCGACTAGAGCAATTTTTTAAATCCCCTCTCAGATAACAAAACCCGAAGTTCATATGACAGAAAGGTCTACTTTTCAATGCATCATAATGATCACAATAGTAATTTAAAGCAAAAAAATTAACTGTACCAACTTTAGACTATCTCGGCCCCTTTTTTGGATCCAACTGTAGAAATAGGTTTCCACGAAGATTGATCCTTCATAGGTCAAAAAGGTCTAAATTTTAGTATTTTTAGATGAAACTTAACGCATATTTGTAATTTAAGATAAAAAAATTCACCGTACCAAATTTGGACCGCCCACCCTATTCTATATAAGAATTTTTGTGAAAAATCTTTATTTTTTAAAGCGGAAAAGTTCAAGTTTTAATACTTTGTGACGACAATTGATCCGTAATATTAGTCTGACAGAAATTTTGAGTATATATATATAATTTTCGAACCTCTTTGGCAGGACCAGTCTTATGGAAAGTAAACCCTTATTTGCAAAGAAGTCCAATTTTTAATATGCAGTTCCATAATAGAAAGTTCATGTAAAAAGAGGGTATAATTTTGGTATTCGATGTGCAAAAATAAGAATCCTATTAGGCAATGTGGTGTAGGGTATATAACAATCAGCGTACCGTGACTATAATGTTTTCACTTGCTTAATATCAACAAGGAAGCATTATTCAAAAAATTCAGTTAAAACCATTAATAAGCTTTTACTAATGAAAACGTGAAGACAAGTCGTCAACCCACAAATCATTATGTACTTTGTAAGGAATGGGGACAATAAAAGTGACGTAAGTGATTTGCGAAATATCATTACAAGGGCTTCGCGTCGTCAAAATACTTTTCCTTTTGGTCGTCTGGTCATTATTAATCGCGATAAAATGACGACTTTAAAATTGCTTCCACCAAGATTTGATGATTATAGACATCAGAAATAACCTTAACATTGATTAAGGAACTATCACTACCTGATCGAAATTAGCTAAATTTATTAAGATTTCGTTAGAGATCAGTGCAATATTTTTATATGCATGTTTTTAATTCCCTTTCATAGATCAGACACTTCAAAATGCAATCAGTACTCCCACAAACATATTGACAAGTAAACAATTGTTCTTTTTTTTTTATAAGATCATCGCCGATAACTTATGATTTCTATTGTCTCGCAATTTCTTCTTTATATTTGTCTCATTAAATATACTTGATCAGTTAAATACTTACAAGACACTGAAATTTGTAACGGAAACCCCATAAAGAGGACATAGTTTTGGTAGAGCTAGCCATGGCCGTCGCTCGATTTATTGAAATCACGATTAGAAACTTTCTTAAACTTTATCTCAAATGATTATATCGGCTCTCGTCCGATATTTTCAAATAATAATTGAATCATTTTTCCCCCTCTTATATTATTTATTTAAAACTTTTAGATCTTCCAATTTAGTCTCACTATATCCTACGCCGCTCATGATACTGGTTATAGGAAGTCCACATGGACGTACGTAACATCCAGAACGGCTTAAGATAAACACGTCTCTTATTATTCCAATCAATTTAGAATCATTTTCTCAACGGATATAAATTCTCAGCTGTCCGCATGTCCTTATTATGTCTGTCCGCGTCCTATAAGATATTTTGATGAAATTTAATGATGAATTACATTGACGTGTTTTGATCCAAGCATGAACCCTGTTAAAAATGGTTCGGATAGGCCCGCTTTTTCGACCGCTCCCCAGAAAACACTTCATTTTAAGTAGTTGTTATGTGCAATTTTGAAAATTTTTCGACAAAACTCGCTGAGTAACAGCATTTCGGCATTCTAAATTGGTATGAAAAATTTAATTCGACTGTGGCAATTTTTTGAACCCTATCTCATATAACCGCTCCTACGAAAGGCGGTAAGAAGGCACAATTCATTATTTCATTGTGAAAATTGGTTCATAATAGTAAATTGACAACCAAGTCAAACTTACCAAAATTGGAACACGCACATCTATTTTTTGGATACCACCGCATGTAAGGATACTCAGTAAACATAAATCCTTATTTCCTAAAAAGACTTAACTGTTAATGTTTTGGGATACCATGTAATATTTCTCGCGAATAGTAAAGATTTAATTTTTAATATTTTATGATGATATATGGTCGATAATATAGCAATTTAGGATAAAAATTAACGGTAGGAAATTTCGATTACATTAAGCTATTTTTTCGACCCTAACATGTGTAGGAATTATCACGAAAAGCAAACCCTTATATGGAGAAAAGACGCAATTTTTACTTTTTTATGATCCGGAAACTGAAAAATAAAATTTTTAGAAAGCAAATTATGTTTGCGAAATTTGGATGGCGTTATGTGACGTTTCGGGCATCCTTTAATATGCGGACTTTCTTGAAAACAATGCTTAACATTTGGTGTATTATCACCAAAACCAGTGGACAACCCATTCTAGGCGGAGTGATGTACCTTATCTAATAGTCGGCCTTTCCCAACAACAATATTCTTACTTGTTTTTCGTATTGAGACTGTCGTGTCAAGGTCGGAAATCAATTGAATCTCGTCAAAGGTTCGTCTTTCGTTCCCAAAAGATGTTACTTGAAATATATACGATATATATCCACACTGCTTCTCTAGTCGAATCTTCCGGTAAATGAAAATAACTTAAACAAAGACAAGGTGCATTTCGCAATAAGTTTCCAAGGCCTGTGAAGGCAATAATGACATATAAGTAATAAGTGATCTCCGTTGTTAGTTTTCGTCTGCCGCTTCCCTAAAGGAAATATTTCCATAGCCATGTAATTATAAAAAAGAAACAAATACTCCGCCCGTATCTATTAATGACATTTCTCTTATCACTTCCATTGCCAGCAATTATATATGCTACATGTGCTATATATGCTAGTAATCGATCAAGTTAACTAGTAATCATTTAATTAATAGACAAAGTAGAAATCTATATAATCCGATAATGATGAACGCGTTTCAAGTCATTGCTTTTAATATGAAACATTTTTGGTCGATTGGAAAGGAAACAAGAAATAAGTTTTAGTTTGATTTTAACATTTGCTTTATTTGTGATTAATTCGTTTAATTTGTTTTTTTATTTTCTTTTTCTCTTAATGTTGTGAATTTATTTTTATATTTTAATTTTTATACTTAACAAACCGCAAAATAAAGCCCACTCTACTGCTGCAAATATATTCCTTTTATTATTACAATTATAAATAAATACACGTTTTTTTTTCTTTTTTGCTTGCAAAAACAAAATTCAAAAATGTTGAATTACATTGTTTGTTACTGATGTTATTGTTGTTACTTTACTTTTAAAATATTCTCATGATTTCTTTTTCTTTTTTTGTTTAGGAAATGAGGAGAAAATACAAAGATTTTTATTATTATGTTATTATTGATTGCAAAATATATAGATCCAAGTTTTTGTTTGTCTTAAGCCTTTTTGAAGATTGTTAGTTAATGCTCTGTTTTTGTATAGTAAATATAATGTTTTTTATCTTCCGTGCAGGTCTGTTTTGTTTTAAGTTTTATAAATATGTACCATAATGTTACAGATAAAATATATATATATATAAGGAACCGAAAAGAAATATAAATAACGTACACGTCCACACATACATGGGATTCTCAATCAAAATAAGGACATCTTTAAATAAATTATTTCGCCGAGTTTTAAAAGTTACAACAGACACAAAATGATTTTCTTAAGATTTGTTGCAAATATTTTGCATTTGTAAGGATTGCCACTTTTCTCGCTCTCCTCCATAGTCAACAGTGCGTAGCTGTTTACCTTTTTTTGCAAGTTTCTTTTTTTTTTCTTAACAATTATTTAGTAAAATGTACGTGCTCTCTCTCTGGCCTTATTTTATGTTATTCTTTTTTTTATTTATTTTATTTTCTTTTTTTTTTAGCGGCTTACAAAGCCGGTCCTCCCGGATATTCTTCATAATCATCGCATTCATCCAAAAAATCGGAAAACAAATCTGGACTTGCGTCGTAATCGTTTTGGATATCCGCAGATTCAATATCTGCTGCCATTTGACGTAAATTGTCAACACCAGCGAGCAATTGCCTGAAAAAGACCATTGCAATAGATCAGCACTTTCATTCTATTTTAATAAATTAGGTAGTTTTCGTCTTCTTTTATTTTTTCTCTTTTTGTAAGTTACCGTAAATTACTTTCGGCATTTGTAGCAGCTCTTTGTAGATCTCTTGCTATCTGTTGTGATCTGGACGGTCGAATACCTACTGCTGGCGTATTACGCAAACCTCCTGAAGCTGTTGCGGCAGCCGCATATGAACGATCACAGTTGGGTAGACTACAACCACCAACAGCACCTTCCTCACGCATTAGCTCTTTCTCTCGACGTAGCATTTCGACTTCGGCCTAAATCAAGATTTTCTTCTTAATATCTAGTGAAATTTCCATCCAATCATTACTCACCGTTAATTGACTAATTTGTTGCTTTAATTTAGCCACATGATTGTGGACCGTAGACGTCCTTTTTTTGAATGATTCTCCGTCTTCGTCATTACATGATTTGGTTGTTGTTCCTTCTTTATTATGATATTGTGTTTTTTCTGATGTTTTCTCTGTCTGCTTCACTAGCTGACGTTCTAAATCATTTGCTCGCCGTGTTTGTTCATTCAGTGCATTGCGCATCTCGTTTAACTCTCTTTGCAAACGTTCGTTGTCATCACGCAACCTGGATAATTGAGTACTTATCGTGGGCTCCTCAGGGGAACCAACAGTGTTGGACGGCAAACCGGTTGCTATGTCGGCCAAACGTTGCGAAGAGTGTATAATAGGACCATCGGATAAGAAATCTGGCAGCATTTTCGATCCTACTGTTGAATTTGATTCAGGCAAGCCCATACTTAAGCTAGCACTGTTAGCTGTTAAGGCTGATATATACGGACCGTCTCTGTTGTTATTTTCAGTATTTAATTTAACTACGCCTCCGTCGCTGTCAGCCCCTGCATCACCAGATGCACCTGTCATTTCACTGAAGAAACCACCCGCTGGCGAAGTGGGTGGAGAATTTACATGCATGTCATGTGAATACCATGAATCCATCCAATGGTCTTGTACAAAATCGGGTAAAGCGGCCGCGACGCCAGGAGGTAAAGCAGCCGGTGGAAAGTCTGGTCGGGAAGAAACGGCGTTCTTACGTAGAATTCCTCCTCCCGAACTAATCACACTACCGCTTTGACTTGTTGACTGCTGTTGCAGTGGCAAATCTAATTTAAGTTTGGCCCCTGAACAAACATTGCCACTGCCACCTGCTCCAGGAGCCGTAGAATTAATATTTAAGGCCAATCGAGTAGGGCGGTGATTTTCTCTAATGGATCCAACACCGATACGGCGACGTGGTGAGGTCTGTGGTCGAGGCATATCATAATTCGAATAGGAACGTGGCACATATTGGCTTCCACGTTCATAATCCGATGCGCTGGTATTCGTAGAGCCACTTGTTGGTGGTAGATTCCAATCTAGAGCACAAAAATAATAAAATGTTTCACTTTTAAACGTAATCGTATACATACCAGTAAATCCATCATGTTCTCGATCGTCTGGATATAAACGGTAATCTGTGGAACTATCAGCTGTGGAGGCTAAATCTGTATATGTTGCCGTTGCACCGGCATATTCCGCCAAACTTGCTTGTGAATCAAAGGAAGAAAAACGTGGCGAACGCTTCATTTTTGAGGCGTTACTATTCAATCCATCAGGCCCTCCACCCACACTAAGTGAAGATGTCGCTGCTGAAGATACTAAATTCGTTTGAGGTACTTTTGGTCGCGCCCCTGTTGAAGTTTGCAGTGATTTTGTGGCCATTGTTGAAGTAATTGTGGTGGTACCATTATTTCCAATATCAGTGCTAGAAGGATCCAGAGAGGTTACCGTGCTAGAAGGGGCTGTTAATACGCTACAATTGCTGAGAAAATGTTTAAATGAAAATGATGAATTCTGCGTAGGATGTGGCTGTTGTTGGTGAACGCTTTGCTGCGTTCCGGCATTAATGGCATCTTGACACGAATCTAATGATAACTGCGTGGCTAAACCTGAAATCATTTATATTCACAAAACACGTCGTTTCTGAAATTCATTTGATTTCCTAATACAAACCTTCTCTAACGCCCATCGGTCCAGATGTAGCTCTAATATTTGTATAATCACCAAAATCCACCGGTAATTGAGACCTTGAGCCGCTTACACCTAAATCAGCTACTAGGTCGTTTAACTTAGTTATCGCTGCTGTGGGCAAATCATTTTCAGCGTTATCTTTTGTATGAGTAACCTTAACCTTGGAACTCTCATCCTTGTTCTCGCCATCAGCATTTTGCGTAAAATTCTTAAAATGATCGTCATTTCCGTCCACTTCTGCTTGACATTCTGTGATATTTGCCTGCTGTTGCTGTTGGGTATCATTTTCATTGGCCATTACGTTGTATGTTCAAAAAGTCTGTAAGGAAAATCTACGGACAGCGAAAAAAGTCGTATTTTTTCAATAATGCTTCCTCTTCTTTCTATAAACTTTTAATAATGTTTCCAAAATAGAAATGTGAAAGCCTTTCCTTTGGCTTTCTCGACCACTCGAGATATTTATACAGTAAATTATTTAAGTTTAAATTTTTTCTATAAATTATTTCGCAAAATAAATTCTTGCAATCTTCTTTATCCCTTTTGTTGACAACTCTTTTTTTGTGACATGCATACAGAACAATATTGCCAGGTGCAGAGCTGAGTGTTTACAGGTACTCTTATTCTAGAGTGTATTTTTTTGTATCTCGATATAAAATCTCTATAATGTTGGTACAAAATTTTTTACATATTTGTTTAAGCAGAGATGTATTTTTCTATATTTTTATAAAATTTTATACTATATCAGCTGATCAGCTGGGTTCTTCTTTTTTCAAATTCGAAACTCTTGACAATCAATAAGAATGCTTGTGCGAAAATAGCAAACTGAAACGTAACGAGAATCTATGTCTCAGAGCCTAACATTGAAACACTTAGGTAAGTGTTTATACAGTTTCTATAAAAAAGAAGAGGATTTTTGTAGCAAATGATACGTTACTTCTTCGCAAGAAAAAGTATGTACGTGTAATCAACACTTAATTATTAGATTTTTAAGCCAGAGATCTAACATTGCAATGTTATCGTTAAGCTTTCCACGCAGAAGAGTAGTTTTCCTCTTCTTCGGTTTATTAATGATATATGATTATATAAAGGAAGAGGATTTCTAGTGTGCTCTGCTTTCTGCAAACCACTGCTAAATTAAGAAAAGACATGATACAATATGCATGAAACGATATCTGATCGTCGTTACGAGCGCATGGCATTTCTTGTAAAGCCTGCTCAATACCGCTTCTGATAGCCGATTTTTATATGCCTTTAACAATTTTATTGTCTAAATTTATATTTTTAGTTTATCTGACAATAAACGCTATTTTATGACGATAGATTTTTATCAATAAATAATCGATTACTAAATACATATTAGAATAATTTGAAATTGCTTATAGCGTACCAACACACCAATTTAAATGCAAGATGATAAAAAAAAGAAGCACGATGAATATTTGGTCTTATTATTAGGTGTTTGCAAAAACTTTGATCATTTTTTCACTTGGAAAAGGCATTTATTAAAAAAAATTGTTACAATATAAAATTAATCAAAATTTTTTCAATCACTTGAGTACACACGAGATAAATGAAAAAAACGATAAGAAATGAAAAAAAAGTCTCAACACTCTCTCAAAGTCTCAAGTCTCTCACTTGGTCCGTTAGATAATTTGGTCCGTTAGATAATTTGGTCGTTGAGTTGTTTCAATTTATAATTCAATTTAAAACGTATTAATGGAAAACAAAAATTTTTAGCGGTCATTAGCTTGGATGCGCTAACGCATTTTACGTAAATACAGGCTTGTAACATCATAAAGACAGGCTTGTAATACTATACATTTTTTATGTGAAGCGCAACTAACATTTCAAAGACAACAATCTGCACTTCTTCCTAATAATGTGGCTTCGAACCTAAACCTTCCTCTCGATCCCTATTTCTCTAAGATTTTTTTTAATTACAAAAATTTTTTTAAATTTTTGATGTATAAATGTTTTACCTATTATTATTTTTATATAAAAAAATATTAATTATTCAATTACCTTGAGAAAATATCCAATTAAAAAAGTATAAAGTTCAAGTAAAAGATTAGAAGAATTATATTCATTTTATATTAAATAAATGTATATAAAAATAAAATATACATAAAAGAATGATTAAATGATTATTTTTGCTTTGAATATCACATAAAACATTAGTTTATATAAACAGCCCGACTTTACATATACAGTAAATTAACCGCCCGACTTCCATATATACGGTAAATTTTTATAACAATACTAGTGATTATAAGTAATCATATCTTATATTTAAAAAAGTAGACAACATTCATGTCATTTTCACTAGTATCGTATGCGGTTGTTGCTGCAAATTCCATCATGAAATAAATAAAATATTGATTTCTGCTTAGTGTATTTTAATTTGCAAAAAACTTGACAGCACTTTCTAGTAAATAAAAGGCAAAATTTGATGAAAACTCCAAGAATAGCGAACTTTTCTCTGAGAAGAAAAGGAGATTATTATCGCAAATATGGATTTATCTTTTAAAAAAGTCGAACATTTGACACCGACACCAGCGGAATTAAGGCCTTATCAAAAAATCAAATGCTCGCAACCGGGTTGCGAAGCATTTTTTCATAATCATAACAATTATGAAATGCATTTAGAAAAGCGTCATAAGTTGCCTATTTTAAAAAAAATGAATCCTCGATTATATTATTGTCCCGAAGACAATTGCGTTTATCGTTATGGTAGTTTGGTCGGAAAACATTTCAAAACTATTAAGTATCTTAAACAGCATTACCAAAAAGTCCACATGCCCAAAGATTTCAGTTGCACCGAATGTGGGAAAACATTTATTAAGGAAAGCCAACTAAGAATCCATCAACAGGAACTTTGCGGAAAAAAGTTCGTATGTAAAGTGTGTACATCCACGTATGACAGCATCGAAGCCTTATTAACACATGGAAAACGTAAAGGGCATGCCGTGCGTGATGTGGTACCCTTAAAAAAAAATGATTGTAAAGTACCCACCAAATCTTTAAAATTTGTTAAACATACCATCATCAAAAATGAGCAACAACCAAACGAACCCAAGGGTAAACAAGTTTTTCATTAAATTATACAAAGAAAAACAGGGGAAATGTATACAATTTTCTTTTATTTTTAATTTGCAGATAAAACAAATCCTAAGTTGCTTTGTGCGACTAGCGTGCAAACGGATACCTTTGTAGGTGATGAGAGCATTGCCCCAGTCTTAGCTCATACTAATTTGGATGATATAAATTTATTGCTGAAAGATATAGAAACTCAAACTGAACCATTTATGAATAATTCCAGTGATAACAATTCATACCTTGACCCGATGTTGGCCCAATCGTCTCACATGTATACCCAGACTTGTGATGAGTTCCTTAGCGAATTGGGCTTGTCTGATATACAAACTCAAACTAACTGGCCTTCGCCATCTAGAGAATCGCCAGGGGATGCAGTACAATTTATTTCAACTGCAACTTCTACCAATCCTTACGTTCATGATGAATTATTGGTATCCACTGAAACTCAAACCAGTTTTACACAATGTCTGTTAAATTCGTGCTCTGAGGCACAAACCACAAATTCAACAGCCACAACAGTTACCGCGACGGCAGATGTTCCTTTTGGCAGTTTATATCATACGCAACATACGCAAACCTGTGATCCTCTGATTGATTTTGATTTCGTTACTCAACATAACGACTTAATTGATGGCTTTCAATCTACTTACACACAAACATGATGGTATGACTGGGAGTTTGGGGAAACCTTAGAGGTTGAAGGCGCAAAAAATGTAGACATTGGACAGAAGCAAAAAGAGAAGTAAATTTTGTTAAACATATTATTCGCTGACATACGTTTCTATTAAAATTCCCATACGATTAAAATATTTGAAGTGCGTACTTGGATATGCAGTTTGGCAGCGCCCGCTTTCAATGCGGTTTCAAACATTTTAAATGCAACCTAAACTTTGTGTAACTAAAATGTACCTGGCATGTGTTCACAACTAACTAGAATATATATTTGTAAAGATTTCTTAAAATGTGAATGAGCTGAGACTACAAGCGGTACTACTTTCTCATACTTATCTGCTTTTCTAGTGGGAGAAGAATAAACAGTTGTTAAAGAAACACGTAGTGTGTAGCAAGACTACAAACAATAAAATTAATTTCCAGGCGACACTCGCTGCGGCGTACTGAATTGAAAAATATACATTAGAGCTCGCAGAAGACGTAGACTCGTCCGCATCGACAATGCAATTCATTTATTTGGCCATGTCTGTCCATTTACTAATGCCATAATTACAATAAATTTTGCCCCATTCTTCTAGAGAAATGCAATTTAAATCCGAAAAGAATAAACGTAATCAGAAAGTAATGTGATTTATGACCATTTTTTAACCTTTGGAATAAGGTTAGTAATCTTGAGTTTTATTCCTAGGTAAAAGAAACAATTCAAATCTCTATTGCTTAAAATTTGTGGCCACAGATTCATATTCTGAAAATATGGGCGAACGGTACGCGCAAGAAGTTCTATTTCGCTCAGATCAGTTCTTTTCTATAATGACTCGACTGATGACCAAAAATGGTAATTAATTTATTTGCCAATTTAGGCAATCTATTACAATTGACGAAGTAATACTAAAATACATATGGCGTGATTGCTTAAGGACTTGATGTTCCGATTCGTGTTATTACATCGATTTTCCAGATATTTGGAACACATATTATATAGCTACATATATGTGTATATATATATATGTTCGCGTATAGACTCTCCAAGTTTTGCCTAAAGCAATAAACTAGCTCTCAAATTTTTCTGATCGCTCTTACAAGATTGAATTTAAAGATTTGTGTCGTATTTGCTTTAAAACTCTTAAATGAAGACTTAACATTTTGTTTAATAAAATCTCCTTGTCTAGTTGGAAACTTAGCTAAATGGGATCAAGAACTCGCTTCTAATTATCATAAATGCAAACACAAACGAAGAAGTTTCCATAAATATGTGCAAAGTGTTGTATATAAATAAAATGAGCATCAGAGATTCCAGAACGCGCTTGTGCATTGTTTATCTTATTAAGAAGTTTTCTTTTTCTTTTGTAAAATTCTTTCTCCGATTTATATTTGTATGTTGGGAATATTAAAAAAGAAATTTGACGTAAAATTTAACAGGGAAGTTTTACATGGCAATCTTCTAACAGAGTTGTTTTACATTCGAATTGTTATAAGAGACTTACTTTTTATAGTACTTTGAGCAGTTGGCAGCCCTTCTCGGTTAAGAGTTTCCAGTCAATGTGTTTGTGTGTTAATAATACACGATAGACAAACAACAATTGCCCTTGTAAAAAAAAAAAAACATACTTAATATAAGCTTTCACAGTATTATATTTGATGGCGATTACAAAAACAAACTACCCAAGTGCAAAAAAATGCAAAAAAGATCATTAAATATAAATTAAAACAAACAAAGCCCACACGAACACTTGTTTAAAATTGTTTGGTTTTGTTTGTCTGCCTTTAAAGTGACGATTGCGCGTTTACAAAAAGAAAAAAGGAAAAAAAAGAAAGAATTTAATGCTTCTTATAAGCGTACTCGTAAGGCAGAGGGATGAAAATATTGTTGTAAGGAGGAGAGGATAGATATACGAGGTATATACGATATATATACATATACTTATATACATATATATATTTATTCATATATATATATATATATATATATATATATATATATATATATAAATATATATTCGTACAAATTAACATTAAGAAGAAAGTGGAAAATTCTGCGTAGAGCAAACCGGTCACAACACATAGAAAAACCGTGAAGAAAATACTATATACAAACAAGAATTTTTCAACGCAAAAAAAACTGTATAAAGAAAATGTCGTTAGGAAGAAAAACGCTGAGTAGTATGAAATTTAAATAAAAAGTTGTTAAAAGAAAGTTGAAAGTATAGTTAACAACCTTGCGTTGTTTAAAAACGAATAAACAAAAAAAAAAGGAAAAATTAAGTTATTAAGAGTCGGGTGAGGTTTTATAAGATTCCCGATTGCTTAAGTAAACAGTGAAAAGTATGGAAAATTTGGAAGAAAAATTCATTTGTGAAAATTCACACTGAAGAGAAACGTTGAAGGAAAAAAAAAAAAATATATATAATATGAACCGGCTATCCAAAGTGCCAAATTTATTTTTTACTTTACAAAGTATGTGTATACACATATATAAATAAGGATATATACGCTACCTCCACAGTAAATCGTTATGTCCATTTTTCCCGTAAAGACTTTTTTAAAGATTGATGAAAGGAAGCCGAATATGTGATATAAGCCGGAAAAGCATTAATTTTAATTTGTCATCTTCTCGGTAAAGGAAACGGAAAACACTAGAAAAAAGAAGGTAAAAATCAATTGGGATAACATAGACCAATGGCTAAATGTTCTAATAATAATAATGATCATAGTAATAGAGAAAGGGTGGGTTAATTTTGTTTTATATTTCAATATCTATCAATTCTAATGTTTTACTCATGAAATTTTCTAATTGGAAACATCAAAGACCTTTGCTGATAAGATAAAAAATCAAAATTTTTACATTGATTAGATGAACTCTGTTTGTAAAAAGCAAGGATTCTGCCCTGCACAATCTTTGTTCCTCTCCATCTGAGGCCTTGATTTGAGATTCGCAAGATGTAAATATTGAAATAGAAAGCTTGCTACTTGGCTCTGATATTTCAATCAATGGGCGTGATTCGTTCGCAAACAGTTATTAAAAAAATTTCGAAAAACCAATAGAATTTTTCATCCGCAATAAGTTTGTAAAGGAATCGTGGAATTTTCAAAAATAAAATTTCAAAAAAAAGTTATTTGCTCGGCAAGAGGGGGATGCATTTCAAATTTTCCAATTAACCACGGCAAATCATTCGCAACACACACACGTTTACTTGCAATAGTCTCTTTCTAATGGGAGCATACGTTTTTTTTTTTGCTAATATTTAAGGAGACCTTCCGGTAATAAAAAATAGATTTATATAATTTTAGTTTGCACTTAATGTATGAGGTTTTACATGCTTGATTCAGACAACGTTCTGGTCTTCAAAAATACATATGCTTTTCGAGTTCACCGTAGTTTGCGTATTTCTACATTATAAAAACGAAAGCTAACCCCCTTTCGGTAGCCTCACTCACCACCGCGTAAATTTTAGAATTTTTTGCCAGAACTACACAGAACAAGGAATCTTTTCACCCTTATTAAATAAATTCGGTTATTTATTTAGTGTTTTCATTGTACGAGAACTAAGCGAGATAAGATTTCTGATAAATCGATTCAAAGATTCAAAGAAGCAGTAGTTTTACCGCATTCGCCAATTTGATTGGTTTGTGATTCTAAGCTTAAAAAGTTTGCATAAGGAAGTAGATATATTCGAAAGTTCGATATTGGTTTCTAATGATTTAATCCAGCAAATGTATATGGTATTTCTTTTTTTCTGGGACGCACCTACCTTGCGATTTCAGAACCCATCAATTCGACGTGTAGATTTAGTGAATCGTCATGAAGATGATCTTCAGCATACACAGTAATATGTGGTCAAAACATGGGCGTGATCTGCTCACATACAATCTTGAAAAACACCGACAATTTTTTAAAATTTTTTTGTACAACTTTCGATCCCGCGAATATATTTATTTTGGAAAAACTTGTACCCCTTGATCGCTAAAATCATATGCACCTTCTGTTCAAAGACGATGTCGTTCGGCTTGCTAATTAATGTGTTCATAATTGACGAAAATATTTTAATTCCAATTTGCTTGCAATTTATTGCTCGTTTATATCAACACCCACTCGGTTGGATGGGTTAGCGAAGCTGATCCTAATGTATAACTGACTCATAGTCTTCCGAAAGTAACTTCAATCGTAACTAGGTGGAGAAAGCGCTACATTGCGCTAGAATAAATTTGAAATAAGTTGGAATTGAAATCTTATCGTTAATTGTGAATGCACCGGTCGAGACTATTTTTAGACAGAACATGCAGATGGTTTCGGCGAACAATTGGGTACCAGTTTTTTGAAAGTATTTGAAAAAATTGTCGATGTTTTTCGAAGGTTTGTTTTAGTTTTTGCCACATTGTAGGCTTGTATGTGAACAGATCACGCCCAGCTTTCCGATCACATGTTCCCAATCGATCAGGAAGTGGTTATGCCAAATATGAGCATTCCATCTTTATTTTAACCCATCAACTTCACGGATTTCGTCAAAAATAGATGAATACAAAACGTCGGTAAATACTATATACTAGTATACACTAATTAATAATAATAATAGTAAACACTATGTAAGCATGGTATTTAGCCCGTACAATAAACTTTGAGATGTTGCCAAATTTCAAATACTGTATATTCGTGCACTGCATTGTAATGAATCGTAAGGGTGTGAAGATCAATTCGAATTTAACTAGCAAAGACACCTATCATTTCTGTTAACAAAACTCTGTTAACGACTTAATAGAGCTCTGTTATATAATTACAAATGACATATAGTTGGATTTGAAAGCCTACTCCGTCCATATTAAAAAAAGGAAAATATTTTTCTGGATATTTCATAAATCTGTATGAAAATACCTTTCAAACAAACTAAACAAATTTAAATTCTGCCTATGGGTGCTAATTTTAACGGTGTTTTGAAATTTGGTAAGTTAGCGAAAAATGGATATGGGATAATGGGCAAATTTGAGACTCTAGTGTGGCCAAACTAGAATATGTCAGCTCTATCACCTATAGAGTGAGCAAAAAACATTAAAACTATTTTTAGCGATTTTTTGAAATTTGGTATGTTAGCGAAAAATGGGTGTAAGTATAGTATAGTATTGCACTAGTATAGTATAGTACAGTAAAGTATAGTATATCACATTATACAGTATATATACTATACTCTAGCATAGCACAATATATACTAGTACAAAATACACTATTTTAGTGCAATATATACACTATACTGTAGCATAGTAAATTCTAGTGCAAAATACACTATACTGTAGTACAATATATTCTACTACAAAATACACTATATTGTAGTGTAGTATATTCAAGTGCAAAATACATATTTTTCGCTAACATACCAAATTTCAAAAAATCGTTAAAAATAATTCCCGAAAGAAAAATCTGAATTGTTTTGCCCATTCGACAGGTACTTTTATATAGATTCACGTGATATAGGTGAATATTGGAGACATTTTCTACTTTGGCCGCTCTAGAGTCTCAAATTTGGCTGTTCTTCCATATCCATGTTTCGCTAACACATCAAATTTCAAAAAATCGCTAAAAATAGTTTCTGAAAGAAAAGTTTTCATTTTTTATGCTCATTCGACAGGTACTTTTATATAGTTTCACGTGATATAGGTGAATATAGATGACATTTTCTAGTTTGGTCGCACTGATGTCTTAAATTTTCCCGTTATCCCATAGCTATTTTTCGCTAACATACATATTTCAAAGCATCGTTAAAAATAGCTCCCATAGGCAGAATTTGAATTTGTTTGAAAGGTATTTTCATGCAAATATACAAATATATTTCCCTTATTTTAATATGGACGGAGTCTGCTTTCAAATCCAACTATAAGTCAATCGTAATTATTTAATAAAGCTCTGTTAAGTCGTTAACAGAGTTTTGTTAACAGAAGTGGTAGGTGTCTTTGCTAGTTAAATTCGAATTTATCTTCACACCCTTATGAATCATTGCTTCATTTTACTGTCAAATATATAAAAACATACACGAAATGCCTACCAATTAATTAAAGAGTTTCACCATTTTAAATAGAAACTAGTGTGTAATGAATTCGCTCACAAATTGAATATAAATGAATTCAGAGGGCGTTTTCGAATGCATTCGATTTGCCACTTGTTTGTACTCTATACGAGTAGGTATCGGGATTGCTATAAAGTAATCAATCATATATATTAGATGAGGTACGAATAGCGGAATGTATTCAGTCACGTCTGTAAGTTCGAGACCCGCGATCATGATCTCAAAACATAGTTTAGAATGCAAACTTCGTTTTGACAATTCCACTAAACATGGGATTGAGGAAACTTCACTAGAAATAATCAGAGACAGTAAATAAAGCGAAGTATGCAGATATGGTTTTTTTGGTATCCACAAATGGTAACAAATTGTCTGATACCATACACTCTCGTTTTTTTTTAATTCTAACTTTGACAGCGTCTCACAGAAACATTTGCATATAGCAAGGAAATACAACCGAAGGAATGTTGTGGTTAGAAGTCAGTTTATGCCTACATATATGTTAGTGACTTGCTCTACTGCGGGTTGGCCCTTAATAACAAACGAAATTTTTCATTTGAAAAAAATTCGACAGTTGTGCTAGACATATCCGGCATATCTACTGATGATAGCATTTGTGATCGAGTTCGTAATAAAATTCAATTTTTATATCATTAATTTTAATTTGTTTTTTTTTGTAATAATAATAAATAGTTTCCGTTTTATAAATATGTGATATGAACTTCATCATTACTTTTTTTGCACGGTTTATAGAGTTTTTTCCATTTCATACGCTTTTTTAAAGTAGTGGAACATATCACCAAATTTACCATATGTCGCATGTACTTTTTCATACGGTTTTTTTTTGCACGGATTTCTAAGGAACGCATCTGTCCTTTGCAAAAATCGAGTTGGGTGTATTAAAAGATTTAATCCAATTCCTCTGTCTTCGATTTATACTGAATTATAAAATAACAATTGCATAAAACAAAAACTGAGAAATTGGAGGCAATATGAAGTAAAACCTATGACCCGCAGTCATTATCAGTTAATTTATATAAGTAAACCAATTATTCGTATACTATGCCACTGCGTAGGAACGGTATGTGAACGGAAAGATTTAAGTTTTCTACTTTTTTTTTTTTTCTTGTTCAGAAAACCATATATATGCAGCTATGAAGTTACATTTCGCATAAAATAGACTAAGTTGGTAGGTAAGCTGTATGATGGGCAGCTAAGATTTTGCCTAACTTAAAAATTTTAATGGTGCTGCAGCGGGAAATAGTATATAAACTAAGCGGAGGAAAAAGGCGAGACTTCAGACTATTTTTGTGAAACTTTTTAGAGTAAGAAAGAGGGAGAGAAATAGGGAACAGCTGCTATCAGATTTGTTATTTGTGTGTAAGGGAGCAAATAACGGCTGAAAAACTTTTCAACAATAATTAGACGAAGACTCATCTACAACAATATACAATCGTTTATACAATTGTGTTTCATTCATGAACTAAAGTTTATTTACAGCTATTTACATACGATATATGCATATGCACCTATTTTAGCAGATATACTGAACATCATCATAATTTTAATATTAATATGTCAAAATGCTTGGCGTTGGTGG